TAGAAAAGAAAGTTATTAAGAAAGTAAAAAAAAAGAAAGAAATAGCCAAAGTAGTTTTATTCTGTCGTTCGTTTTTTTTTTTTTTTGTTAAAAATATAATTGTTTGGATATGAATAAGTAATTATTTACATACCAAATGATTTAATAGAATCAATGATTTATTCAGTAAAATTTTTTTTTTTTGTTTGAAGTATGCCAAATATTTGGAAAAAGTAATAGGTTTGCTTAATTAATTACTAATTAATAATCTTATTTGAATATTGCATTCAATTTGATTTCTTTCCAAATTATTATTCAATTTCGATTAACTTTACGAAAATAATAGCGATAATTTAAATTTAATAATTAAATTTAAAATTTTAAATCTTTCATTTATGTAAATTCACATTTATGATAAATATGTGCGAACAATTCCAAAATAATAATTGATTCGAAAATGAATTATTGACAGTTTTAAGTGTTCGATTGCGAAATATTTTAAAATTTTAAATTTTAATAAATGGAAAATTTAAATTATTCCGAAAAAAAAACTCAACTATATTCCTAACATGAGCAAGAATTGTTTTGAATATTTAATAATATTGTTTAATTAAATATTTGATTCAATTATACTTCTAAATGTTGAATATTATTTCAAATGAAAAAAAAATGCTTAAAATTTGTAATTTAAATTTTAATCTAAATTTGAATGAAATTTCGTTATTATTCAAATTTTCCCATTATTTTTGATATTGTTATTACAATTGTTGATTATTTAAATTTTAATTATTTAAATTATTTTATTATTTAATTCAATCATTTTAATTATTTAAATTCCTCATTCTTTACCATTTTTCAAACATTTTTTCCCTGTTAAAATCCTTTTCTTTTAAAAAAGTTTAAATCTCAAAATTTAAATTTATTTCATTTTTCAATTCTTTCAAATTTTTTTTTTTTAAAGATAGCTCAATGTATGGGAACAGAGGGTTGCGAAGGTGGTGCATTAAATGGTTTCCCATCGAATAGTGAATGTGAACATGATATTTGTATCGATTGCTTGGATAAAATGCTTGCTGAATGTGAAATTACCTGTAATATATATTTTGTTAATTAATTAATTAACCAATCAATTAATTAGTTGGGCAAAATTTTTTTTTAAATTAAATGATTCAAATGTAAAATATATATATATATATATATGTATATGAATAAATTAGAATAGGAACAAAAAAAAAAGATGAAAAAATTATTGATAGAAATGAAATGAAATGAAATTTTTTAATTTAATTAAAGGTTCACAACCAATGTGCCCAAATATTTTATGTCATCAACCATATTCCATTGATTCAGTAATTGCATTAAAAGCATTTTTCCCACAACGTGCTAATTATTTCAAACGTTTTGCGCTTGAAAATCAAGGCTATTTTCTTATCAAAGATGATTCAATTTCGGTTAATTCTTTCTTTTTTTCTTCCATACTTTTTTGTTTTTTTCTTTTTAAAATTTTAATTTTTTTTTTTGAAATTTGAAAATATTATTTGTTTAACATGCATATATATACAAAAAAAAAAAAAAAGACGATAAATTGTTGTAAATTTAAAAAATAAAAAAAAATTTGCAAATTTAAAAAAAAAAATAAAAATTGAATA